TGCTGTTGAGGGGCGGCCCCGTGGGAGCTCAGCTTGACGGGCCTTCTTCTATCTGGTAAGCGCGCCTGTCTGCCGCATGATCTACGCCGACGACCACGTATCAGGACCTTTCCGGTAGCTGCCCATAACCCGGACCGTCCGGCTCAAGCTGACATCTCGCGCTCAAGCATAGGTGTGATTGGAATATTCATGTAAATGGCTGTGTTCTGGAAGGGACTGACACAGGTGTCTCATAGCGGTCGGTAAGGTGGACATATTTCAGCGTGCGTATCGTGGCAAGTTTTCATTTTCCGTTCCCAAAAGCGATGTAGTTAGTTCGTGATTCCTTGCCGTAAAACGCGTTTGCTAGACGTAAGATTTACCCTCCGATCGACTAAGCGTGCGATTTCGGACAGATGCGTTCATGGCGATTGTAACCTGATATGACCATTCCATGCAGCAACCCATCGTTATTAACTGCCGTAAACTATCAGCGTTCTGCCCTCTCCTACAAAAACTGTATACGCTTGCTGGCCGGATTACCGTGACAAAGGCTGGGCCGGGTATGTTGGCGTCGGCGGTCGGCCCGGGTTATTCGGCGGGGCAAAAACCCGACCCCTCGCGGCGCGGCGGCCGAGCGAACTGCCTGCCCATTAGGCGGTGAGTGCGGCCTGACACGTCTCAACCGCAGCGGGGAGGGAAGAGGGGGAGGGGGCCTCCAACGCACCTGTCGGCCGTCTGGTGCGCCGCCGATCGGCGCAGGCCGCGCCGACGTGGCGTGTATTGGGGCGCTGTTATCTTGCTGGGGCGTGCGGGCCGGTTAGTACCTCGGCTGTTTGGGGAGGCGGGGCGGGGGCTTTTCGGGCTACGGTGACACGGTAATGGTGTGTGGACGTGGTGAAGCCTCCGTCGCTGGGCCCAGTTGGTCTGCATCTTGCCGACGTCAGTGGATAGCCGACCTGCTCTCAGTTCCGCGCACCAGGGAAACGCTTGCGTTCGACAAATATATCTTAAGGGTAGTCTGCATCGTTATGTTATATCCAGTACTCGTTTAAGTGCACATTCCCATCGTTTGCTTTATGGTGTTTAGGGGTTTAGGTCATAAGAAGTCACGTGACCGTATTCGGATCTTGTGCCAGAGAAATGCTCGACTTGTGGCCATGTGGCCCCATGGCTTAAACACGGCTTCTGACAGGCCGGCGAGCAGCCCGAATCAGGCGCTCATTACACCAAATTAGGCCCATTTAGCTGCCACACCGGGGCGCCGGCTCGGTGCATGCGTCTGAGCTATCTCCCCGCGCTGTCCATGATTACCGAGCAGCGGGCGCCGCGGAGCAGCCCCCGGTTACCGTCACAAGGGCGATAGCCCCTTGACACCGCGGCATTTCGAGGTCACGCTGTCGGTGCTACCAACGCCGCCGCGATAGCTGGGGCTGATCCGCTGTCCACGGTGGATCTAGCGTTACCCTGCCGTGTGTACCTGTGCCCGTCAAGAGTCTGCGTGCCTCGCAGAACACCCCGCCGCCGTCAGGGTCGTGTCGCCAGTCGGAGCGCGCCAGGTGCACCTGAGTCACTCGCCGGGTCGTTCTCGACTCTGGAGAGGCCACGTTCCGGGCCGTTCTCGACTCTGGAGGGGCCGCGTTCCGGGCCGTTCTCGGCTCCGGAAAGACCGCGTTCCGGGCCGTTCTCGACTCTCGAGAGGCCGCGTTCTGGGCCGTTCTCGACGCTGGAGAGACCGCGTTCCGTGCCGTTCTCGACTCTCGGGAGGCCGCGTACTGGGCCGTTCTCGACTCTGAAGAGACCGCGTTCCGGGCCGTTCTCGACTCTCGGGAGGCCGCGTTCTGGGCCGTTCTCGACTCTCGAGAGGCCGCGCTCCGGGACGCCGACTCGGGGCGGGAAACACAAACAAGGGGAGCGCGCCGCCGGCCGCCGGCCCCGTCCGGAATGCGGCCGGCGCGAGCCTGGGCGCGGCCGGCTCTGCCGCCGCCTGCATGGACGCTGATGTCGCCCCGCGGCGGCCGGCGGCCCTGACGGACCCGGCGACCCGACCTCGGCGGGCGGCGGCACAGCGCGCGGTTGGCCAGGGCGGCCTGGCCGCCGCCGCGCCGCCGGCTGTTTTTCCTCGCCGGCCGGCCGTGAGGGGGCGCCGGCGCCGCCGCCGCCGCCGCTGTAGTCGCGCGGCCGCTGGAGCCAGCGCTGGAGCGAACCGAGCGCGGGGTCGCGGGTCGACCCACGCGCCCGGCCGAGCGTGACGCGCGCTGCCCCGGCGGGTCTGGACGGCAGCAGTAGCAGTGGTGCGGCGTGCCGGCGAGTCGGGACCGCGTGGAAGCGGGCCGGGAGACGGCGCATGACGCCATGTCGGCCACGGCCTTCTCGGGCATGGACCGGTCGTGGTATCGCGAGCTGCACGGCTTCCCGGCGCGGAACGTGCGCTGGGAGGGCGCCGAGAGCGCCGACGCCGACCAGGTGAGTGACCGGTCGAGGCGACCTCGGCGCCAGCTGGTCCGCACGGGACGGCGGCTCGGCAGCACTGATTTGCGGCCCCACAGCGGCCGGGGACTGAATCGGAAATGCCTCTCTGTCTCGGTGCCGGGTGCGCCCCAGCGCCTCCGGCGGCTGGCGCCTGGGAGGGCGCTGGCGTGACCTGGTACGCCAACGTTAGCGCCGCCGTCGCCCGCGCCGCTCGTCGCGCCTCTCCCCTGTGGCCCATCGTCGGGGCTGAGCTGTGGTCGTCTGCTGAACGCCGCCGGCAGCACCGCATCGCCGCCTGATAAACCAGCTATGCTAATTTGTTTACGCCCGTCCCGTTTTGCCGCGCCGGGCCCGGCGGCCGCTGAGAGAAAAATGAGCGGCGACCACGCGGTGCGCGCACCCGGCTCCGCTCGAGCGGCGCGTGGTGCGCTGACGCCGCCGACTGCGTGTCACGGCATTCCGCTCCGTCACATCAGCATCGGGGTGGGTAAACAGCCGGCACGACAGGGCGCCGCGCGCCCGGCGCCGCGCCCGGGAAAGCGGCGCCGCGCCGCCCGACTTCCTGTCGGCCTCACCTCTCACCCGGCTGGCATGCCGCTGGCCGGTAGGTAATGGGCGCCGTGCGCGGACAGCAGCCGACCAGTGGACCGCGGCCCGGTCTCAGGCGGCAGCCGGGGCGCCCGCTGGCTCCTGGTCCGGTCACGCCCGGGCCAGCCGGCCGCTGGAGGCGTCTCCGACCGGTGGTGAGCCGGCGGCGTGGTCGCGTGTTTGTGTCGGCTGTCGCTGCGGGGTGTGGACGGAGGTGGGTCAGGTGGGAGAGGAGATGGCGGCCTTGATACGGGCGCCCTGAAGCGCTGCTCCTCTGATCTGGGCCATCGGGAGTGAAGGAGCGGCGGGGCGTCAGCCCTTTCGTGCGTCCTCTTCAGGCGAACAGCGTGCTGTTTAATGAGACTGGCGACGTGCTGTTGAGTGCCGCCAGCTCACGACACTCCGGTGAATGTACGGTGCGGCTCCATTTCATCGCAGTCAATCACACTATTCATCGTCTCACTCTGCATCGAATCCGCTTAAGCCGTGGTGCGTTCTGCGCCGACATCGCCGACACAGCCCGGCGTCGGGCCGCGCCATCGTCCGCCGCCGTCTGCGCCTGCTCGCCTGCGGCTACTCTTGACCGCCGACCGCCGGGGTCGGTCACAGCTGTCGCTCCTTTCTGAACCGTTCGGCGGGCCTTTTTCGGCGGTGCACCGTGCACAGATGCACACCGTGGCGGCGGCGTATCGACCGGGCGTGCCGGCGCACCTGGGCGGCGGGCTACCGGCGGCCGGCGGTGGGGCGCGCAGTACGCCGCCGGCCCTGCGCTCGCCGAGATGCGCCGTCGCGACCCGCGCCAGCCCCTCTTCGAACTGCTGGGAGCCCGGCTGAGGCAGCGCCACGACCTCGGCGAGGAGCACGGAATGGAGGTTGGAAGCGAGGACGGAGTGGAGGATGGAAGCGAGGACGGAGTGGAGGATGGAAGCGAGGACGAAGCGCGGCGCAGTGAAGAGAAGGCGAGCGCGGGCGATGGGCACGGGATCGTGGAGAGAGGCGACTGTGTCGCCTTTGTCGAGCGTAGTGACGAGCGTCCTGAGGAGTGAACTCGTGGCTTCCGATTTGACCGCGGCGAGTGACGTTCCCGGACACTCTGAGGTCTCAGCTGCTGTGTCCCCGCGCCTTCCTGAGAACAAGAATGCAGCCGTGAGGAGACGGACTCGGAGTCGCCGGCCAGAAGCTGTCCGGACGGTCCGTCTCAGCGTGACGTCAGCGTCACTGCCACAGCTGGGAGCTCCGCAGCGAGCCCAGTCGCAGCGGTGGGGCCGGTGTCCGGTGCTGACGACAGGCAGTATGTTCACGTCCGGGTCCGACGAGGTCCGAACGGAGCCGGCAAGCAGTCGTCTCCCGCCAGTGACTGATGGGTCGGCAGCGGTGCAACCTAGCTCGGTGTCACGTGCTGCCGGCTGGGCTGGGTCCCAGTCGCGGACGAGCCGTCAGCCGCTCCTGCGCTCGAGCAGCGTGTCATCCACGGGCTCGTTCAGCCGCGAGCAATACGAGCAGGCGCAACTGTTCCCCACCAACAAGGTGGCCGGTAGATGGCGCCCCGAGCAGCGTACCGGTAAGTATAGATGGCGCTACCATCGTCCGCAGATGGCGTGACTGATGATCTCCCGGCAAGGGCGTGGAGAGACGTCCATCTTGGTTCGAGGACGCCAGGCTCTGCGTTTTCCCAGCCCGAATTTACTATCAGATGTGGTTTGCTGTCTGTCAATGAGCGACCGCCACAGTGCCACCAGCGGCGTCACAGCTCAGGCTGGCTTCGCCGCCCGTCGCGGGGTTTCCAGCTGGACTGAGGCCGGACCCTGCCGCCTGTCACGTGACCCGGCATGCCGTGGGCGCCGGCGCGGCTGACCCCATGACCAGTATAGGTCGCAGGGCGCAGGGTGGGGGAGTGCGCCGTGGAAGTGGCCCGAAACGACCGAGTGATAAACGAGGCCGGTGGAGGCAGGAGAGAGTGGGAATTAGACTAAGTGATGGCGTTTACGGTTGTCCGAGTTTCGCTGGCGAGGCTAACGGTCGCTGTCCAAGATGTCGTGGCTTGGAATGAAGCAGGTAGAGTGAGGTGCTATTTGTCTGATGACCTCCAGCAGATGGCACTGTACGTAACATGGTTTCAAAGCATTTTTCTGTAGTTTGGAAGTAACATGATGTGCGCAAACGGGGTTTAAGAGTGTCCGCTTAGTTGCGATCCACTTACGCGCCGTTTTTATATCATTTTGTGTCGATGCGTAAGTGATGGCCTGAATTATGTACTTTTTGACCATTCTTATCCTTTTTGTTGCGACTCCGATGCAGAATTAACAGACCGAAGGCTCACGAACAGTAGGTCATCCAGTAGCCATCCATTGGTAACATCCTTCAGCCACGAAGGTAAGCGGGAAGGAAAGTACCCCAACGGTCTGTCAAACGACTTCCATGTCGTATGGGCTGTAATTTTTGCTTCTGTTAATCATATTTTATGAACCGTGATTGAAGTGTTCCCAGTCTTGCACATGCAGGGGCCTACTGGGTTCACATGCACGTGTCTTGAAATGGTGTCCTCATGGTCACTTCAAGCCGGTTAAAGGCTGGACGAAAGAAGAAACCCGACCATCAGAGGCGCCTGCTCCGTAACGACTCATTCGCTACGCACAGTCGCAGTAAGGATTAATGTCCCCGGCCGCCTGCCTGGGCGCTGTTGCGCCTGTACTGACACCTGCCGGCGTCGCGCAAAAACTCCCGACAATCGGCTGCGGCCAGCGCGAGACGTGCCGGGTTCTCGGCGCTTGTGGCGAGCCCGATCGAGGGACTTTCGCTCGGGAGCCGCGCTCCACGAGCGGCCGCCAATGCCGCCGCACACCGGGCCGGTATTGTCCCGCGCCGTTTTCGCCTGGCCCAGCCGGGTGCCAAATAGTTGTACTCAGGGTATCAATTAGCCGTCTGTCGGCGCGCCATGTGGCGGCTGACGCGCGAGCTCTTGCTCCACTTCGCCGTCGCGGCGGCGGCGGCGCCGGCGCCGCAGTCTGCGCCGCGGAGTCCACGACGACGCAGCGCCGCTCTCGGTGTCCGCCGACGGCACGCACCATGCGCACCGCCAGTCTGCCGAACCTCAGTCGCGAGACGGAAGAGCTCCGGCTGCCCAACGGCGTCGTCATCGTCTTCTCGCACCTGCTCGGTACGTGGCCGGGCGGGAGGCGCGTCACGGGCCGACGTCCGGCCACGGCCACCGCCGCCGCCGGCACAGGACGGGGCGTGTCGCCCCAATGTGGGCGGCGTTAATGAGCCCTCGCGTCTGCGGCGAGGTGTGGAGTGTTGCGAAAGCGCTGATGTTCTCTGCAGTATTTACCGTGGCCATGGCGGCTAGGACGGAGGTCCGGCGTCCGCTGGCTGGTGGGCGTGTTCAGCAGTGGTTTCCTCGGTCGTGGGTACTCGGATGCTCGTGACTCGGTGTTGGGCAAGGACACGTTTCGATTATTCTATCGTTTGATGATCGAGGATGTATCGTTTCATGGTCGAAGATCGTTCTGAGGGCCTTTTGAGGCCTAGGGTTCGCTCGGCCTACGTTCTGCTTCGTCTCCGGCTTTGATGGCTGTTGAGTCGGAGGGTGCGAGATCTGCATGAGTGGACTGCCTGGAGTTGATCTCATCAGATTCCTAGGGCTGGTGATGTCTTGCCAAAGCAGTTGGAATGATGGACAGAAGCTAAACCTGAAAGCGTAAGGCCCAATGACCAAGCCTAAGCCTGGGGTAAACCTGCCAGAAACTTATTCTATTCGTCGGGAGGGGCGGGGGAAGGCCAATGCCGCGGGAAACTGTTGCCACAAGCTTGTACGGGAAACGGCGTCCTTTCTGCCCTCTCTTCCCGGGTGCGTTCCGGCCGGTTCGAGGTGGGCTATAGTGAGGAAAAATTTGCGACTTTCATTGTTAATGTCACTCCTTGAGGAGCAATCAGCTCAGCAGAGAATATCGTAATGCGCTGTTGAAATAAACAGCAAGCCGCTGATGAAACCATGTGATTTATCGTATTTCCCTCTGTAGATACAAACACGTTCCGTAGGTGCTTACAAACGCGGTGAACAATGCGTTTGCACGGTTGGCTTTAGTATTGACAAGTTGTTGCGGAATAGATCCCTACATCTCTGCAAAACGCGACAGGCTCCGGCCTATTCCTACCTCTCATGCCGAATCATGCCACGACGGTTTTGGCCGCGATTCCGTCAGCTTGGAGTCCCGAGCCGCGTTGCTAGCGTGGCCGTGTCGGCACCAGTGCGGCTTCCCAGGACGCGGCCATCGTCACGTCCTTCGCCAGCTATCCGTCTTCTCCAGCCTACTCTCACTGTGCCACTGGCCTGTCGGCGCCCGGCATCTGTTGCTCTGCTGCTGCCGACGCAGCCGACGAAACCTCGAGCCTTTTAATGAACTTTTTCTTTCTGTCGTTAGATCTCTCCGCGGGCTGTGTTTGGTGGGCCACCTGCGCGCGCGCCGGGCCGTCGGCTGACACAGTTCGCTCGCGGCACGGCCGAGAGCGCATAGCGCTCGCCGCTCAATCAAACTCCGATCATGACGTTACCGTTGTCCGCCTGACCTATCAGCGGAGCTGTCGGCCGCCCTCCGCTGCCGCTATTATCACCGCAAACGACCGGAAAGGACGGCGTATCGATTGTCAGCATGGTCGGTCATGCTGCCACGGGCGGGGATGGTGGGAGTGGTCGGTCAGCTACGAGGCACTGGGCCAGGTACGAGGCTGCACGTCTGGGAAACCAGAGGTACAGGGTTCGATTTCTCGCGGTGTCCGCCCTTCCTGCCAGGGTAAGAGACAGGCGACGCCATATAGCCGCAGCAGCTGAGTGTTGTCCGTAAAGCTCCAATGGCCACGAGGTGCTGGTGTTTCTGCCTCTTTTGTGCAGGACTCGCGAGCAAAAGGTTTTGGGTTCGATTCCCGCTGTAAGAAACTTCGGTCGCGGTATCCAGGTTTCCTTAAGCAGTGGTAATGGCTTGAGCTGTCAAACGCATCAATAGATAACTCGGGAGGGCCGCGGTCATGTCGCCGTCGGATGCCGGGCTCCGAGCTGCCGTGGTGTGCGCCGCGGCCGCCGGGCGGCGCCAGCGTCGCGCCGCTGCCGGCCGCCGTCGCCGCCGGCAGTCGTCGCTTGGTGTTTGGGAGGTGACCGGCGGCGCGCGCCGCCGTCCGCTCCAGCCGCGTCATGTTCCGGCGCGGCAGCGGTGACGACATGATGGCGCAGATGCGCGAGAGTCTGGTGCGCGAGCTGAAGAGCGTGCACCGCTCCACCAGCATGCGCGTCCGCGGCAGGAAAGGTAGATGGCGCGCTTGTCCGGCGCATTTATGCTTCTTTTGTGTGGTAGTTTCCGAGGGCTGTTCGGGGTTTTCGTGTTTCCGGCATTGCTTGTGAGTTCTTAGGTATTGGCTCCTTTCGTCACTCGCTGTTTGTCATGAGCTGTAGATCGACTCAGACGGTTCTGGTAGCATCGTGACCGTGTACGTCAATGTTGTTAGACATATATTGCGTACTTTGGAACCCTTGGGATATGTTTCACGGAACTGTCAGTAGGAAACGATGGGTGTGTCGTGTTCCGCCGCATCGTGACTCAGAACAAAGCACCGTTTATGAAGCTCGGCAGCATCTGCATGTTGGCCGATGACAGCGGTCTGTTAAACGGCCGATCAATATGCGGGTAATGAACCACTGTTGTGATCTTGAGTGGCCAATTATTTTTGAATACCGGTGTTAGGATGACGTTGGTCGGGCTCAGGTGCGATGTCATTGGCACTTATGGTTGGTGTTTGTCTCGATTGAGGACGAGGTTGAGCCGATTTGGCGCTGGGATTCAGCGGCCCCTCTGTGACTCCCGCCCGGCTCGGCTTTACTGCGGGCCTCGCCTAGCTTGCTCACCGGCAGTGCGGCTCGGTGTTGGATTTATTAAATCAGCTGTGATGGCCTCATGATCACGATACAAGTCTACATTTATATCAACGTCTTCATGCACGGTATATGCTTTCGGGGGCCTGAGTCCCCCCCCCCCCAACGCTTGATTTAAGTTGGCCCCCTCAATTCTCCTGTCAGACTTTTAATGATTACGGGCAAAAAGACAAAAATGACCAATGGAATGCAGCCCTGAAGTTCTGGTACAATAGCTTCCTAAGACATCACTATTAGTCTTCTTGTTTTGTGAGTTTTAACCGCATAGTGTCCTATAGGTACCTTATCAGCTTTCGTCAGGCCGATTCCTTAATATGTTATATCAGTCTGAACTTACTGGCAGGCTTTTCACGCGATAACGCATGGATCGGGACAAGGGAGCACCGCAATACAATATGCAGCAGCATTTAAGTAGTAAAAGGTGGCCGGTCGCATTCACCTGTCTTCGCAGTTCGCCATCTATAAACGGGAGTTGCACATAGAGGCAATTTGTTTGTTTCACTTTATTGTATATCACGACTTATTCGTGTACTTGATGTATTGTTAAACAGGGGGGTGAAAGATCTTGCAATGGGAGGGGAACTTAACTTGAAAATGGACACAAAGTCGAGCGTGCCACAGGCTGATCGAAAAAACAGCATTGGTAATCATTGACATCGAAAACGCAAATTTACGTGACCGCAATCCGGGAGACATCGCGTTCTTGGGGTACGTAAGATCAACCTTATCGGCTAGCCCCCCCCCCCCCCCCCCCTCCGAGCGATGTGAGCAAGTGCCATCCCCCCGCCATGCTATTACATGATTATAAGAGTAAAAGGAGTGATATCATTTTTGACGCTAGTCAGAGGAACCTATCGAGCGGCTCGACTGACTTTCAACAACATTCCCGCCTAGACTATGCGCGCATTTGTTCGTCCTGCTGTCATATCCGGTTATGGCTGATGCTCACTGCCGGATTAGAGGATCGGTTTATCTGCAACACAGCAATGCAGTGCATTGGGTATATTACTTTTTTTCTCAGCCAGATCGGCGTGTGCACGTGATCCCAGTGACTTCTCTGCAGCTAATTCGTAGCATCTGACCGTGGCTTGTCCAAGGACCTTTTTCTCCCCGGCTTCGCATAATTTTTATTGGCCACGTGATGACATCGAAGTCATTCTCCCGATCCTATCGTCGATTTGTGAACCATTCACCGACGGCCGCCACTGTGGCAGGTGCTGTCAGCGGCCCGGTGCCGTGTTCTCCGTTTCTCCGGCCCAGCTGTGTTTTAACCCCATTCAAGTGCGCGTCCCAAAGCCGGGCGGCGCGTGTGGCACCGCTCTGGTCAGATGCAGCCTCCGTTAGTAGCGGCGCGGCGGCGTCGCATCTGCCGCTGACGCGCCACTTCCCGGGGCGTTTTGGCCACGGGCGCCCGGCCGCGGTCGGCGCAGATGGTGTTGTTCGGTCAGACCGCTCAGAAAGTAACACGGCTGCCGCGGCGGCCGCACAGCCGGGCGCCGCGGCGGCCAGCCGGGACCAGCCGGCGCCAGCCGCGCCGGCGAAAACTGGCAAAAACGGCCGCGGGCTCGGTCGATTTGGGCGGCAGCACGTGCGGATGTGGCCAGCCTGCCCCTCGTTGTGGTCACCTGTCAGGAGTTGGTGGCGAATTACCATGTCCCTTGCCAGCTGTTGCGTTCAAGCGGGCCGTCGTTAAATGACTTATGGCGGGCATGATCCTACACCCAAGATGCGACGACGTTTGGAGTGGTAGAATGGCGAGGACCAAACAGATGCAGAAAAGGACGTCGCAACAATCTGCGCTACCATGCATGAGCCCGGCCTTGGAAATTGATAAGACAGTAGTATTAGCCTTATTCCTTGGAGAAAAAACAGGAGAATAGGGATATATGGGTTGATATTTCGGCAACATGCCTTTATCGAAACAATAGAACATCTTCTGCTTTTGTTTCGATAAAGACGTACTGCTGAAAAATCAACCCAACTATATCTCCACTCTCCTGGTTTTTTTTCTCCGAGGAATAAGGCTAATACTACTGTCTTATCTATGTGAATAATGTTCCTCGCTAATGCACTGAACAACCTATGATTTTGGAAATGTCATAACGGCACGTTTCCCGTTCGCTTCCATTGCCCCATTGAACTGTTGACGGAATGGATTGTTATCCCGAGCGGCGTCAGTGGAGCTCCTGCGGTGCAAAGGGTCTACTTCGCCACTTTCCTGATGTTCGTGATGTCTGATGGAGTGATCGCCAAGCTAGTGATCACGGCACCAGGGCGACCAGGTCACGACGCCCACGCCGAAGACGTGGACGGCGCGTGCGGTTACGGTCACCGATGGGGTCAGTCACCTGCAGCTGGCCAGGTGACAGCGCTGGCACCGGCTCCGTTCACCGCGTCCAGTTTACTGCTCGCTGTGTCTGCGAAGCTTTGACTCCACGTCTTACTATGAACTCGGTCACTCCTTTTCGTGATATTTCACCATCTGTTCGGTCGGTCGACCATGCCGTAGTACCCAGTCAGTCCGACTGAGCATAGCTGGGAATTCTATCGGATCAGCCATGGCATCCCCGGATGAATCGGTCCGGGATGTACTGCATCCAGGACAGTAGCATTCTTCCCACCTACGATACGCTGGATGTGCACCCATTCTGCGGTCATGTCCAATGAGGCACCGTAGCCAAGCATTGCACTTCCTCCCAGCCGTCCTTTGCATGTATTGGTTTGTCTTCGTCACATTTACAAGCTGGGTAGATCCGCGTGAGGCCCATCTTCCTCCGCCGCCCCGTTTATCTCGGCCAGCGCCCGGCGCGGCGGCGGCGGCCGACACCGCTCCAGACCCTTCTCGCCGATCAGGCCGTGAATGAGCGGCGGATCAGCCTCCGTTAGCGGCCGGCCGCCGCATCTGCGCCACTGTCGCGCCCGCGCCGCAGACGCCGCGCGACAGGTGCCGGCCCGGTCCGGTCCGTCTCTCGCCGTGTTAACGCAGCGCTGGTCCGGCTGGCCTGGCTGCGGCGCCGACCCGCCCCGAAACAGTCCCGGTGCTGTGCAGCGGTCCGAAGCAGGTGCAGTTTCGACGTTCTGACGCTGTGATGCAGTCGCGGCGCGGTGATGCAGTCCCGGTGCCGTGATGCAGTCGCGGCGCTGTAATGCAGTTCCGACGCTGTGATGAAGGCTCGGTACTGTAATGCAGTCAAACGCTAGAGTGGTTCCGACGTTCTGACGCTGGGATGCAGTCCCGGCGCTGTGATGCAGTCCCGATGCTGTGATGCAGTCCCGGCGCCGTGGTGCAGTCCCGGCGCTGTGATGCAGTCGCGGCGCTGTAATGCGGTCCCGGCGCTGTAATGAAGGCTCGGTACTGTAATGCAGTCAAACGCTAGAGCGGTTCCGACGTTCTGACGCTGGGATGCAGAACCGGCGCTGTGGTGCAGTCGTGGTGCTGTGATGCAGTCCCGGTGCTGTCATGTAGTCCCGGTGCTGTCATGCAGTCCGGGCGCTGTGATGAAGGCTCGGTACTGTAATGCAGTCAAACGCTAGGGCGGTTCGGACGTTCTGACGCTGTGATGCAGTCCCGGCGCTGTGATGCAGTCCCGGTGCTGTGCAGGCTCACAGATACGGCCCGGGGATGCGTGCAGGGCCGCCGACGCTGAGTGCCTGTAAATTATTCATCGCTGGCGCTTCCTTTAATTTTGGGCTGTTCCACATGGCTACCGGCTGCCTCTTGGGAATAATCACGGTTCAGTCACGGTACACTGATGCAGAAAAGAATACGGAGAAATCAGCTAGCTTATCAGATCCTTGCTTTGCCCATGTTCCGCATGAGAATCTCCAAATCATTGGGCTTCCAAATTCCTTGCTTCACCGGTGATTGATAAGCCAGGCTGTTTTACGCTGACCAGTGTAGTCACCTCGTATGTGGCCTAAACACTTGTCCAAAAGAAGGTAATGACCAGCAGTGGACTGTCATTGAGCCGCTATCCATCGACAATGCATTTCTGTCGTGCCAGACCGGTGTGCTGATCAGTTCTGGTTTGCAGTCAGTCACGCCCCGTGTTTGGCGGCCTCATGTCACGACTTGGTCGGGTCGAGTTTGACTGCCGAGGGGCGGCGTTCCCCAGCCCCCTGCGGCGGCGGCGCTGGCGGCTCCGGCGCGTCGCCCCATTGTTAGTTACTCGGTCACCGTCGGCTACCACTGGTCCTGAACTGTCTCGTTTCGGCGCTGACGGATGTCATTTGATCACTGGGTCACGCCGTTTGAAACGTGGCTAAACTGACTGGTCTTCTGTCTGTCGCTCTTTGGTCCCTAAACCTCTACTTGCTGATCCGCGCACGACTGGGACCTGGGGCTAAACGGGCGGACTTTCCAGCCAATCACGGAACCTACCCCACACGCCACGCGCTCCGGCTCTCTTTGAGGCGACGTTGCGTCGCTAAAAGCCCAGCAGAGAGTCCCGGATGCGAGTCGGAGCGGCACCCGCTGGCGGCGCTCTAATTAGCCTGCAGAAGCGCACGCTCCTTCCGCGTGAGACGGGAAAGCCCGTCGCCGACCGGCACCACCTCCCCGAGCCGCTCGCGTCGGGAGGAGGCGGCGATGAATTCGTAAGGGGCCCGCCGCCGGCACGGCCCGGCACGGCGCGTCGGTGGCGCGTGCCGCGGAGGGGCACCCGCTGTCGACGCACGCGCCGCCGACGGCCGTGTCACCGGCCCAAGGTCGTGCCGCTGCTCCAAGCGGCGCCCGGCTGATGGCTCGCGCGACTTCAGAGTGGAAGGGCATGCCAAGTTGACAGACGTGATGAGGTTCTGGAAGGATGGCAGAGTGATGTCGGGACGGCCCATTTCCGAGGCCTGAAGTTTCGGCGGCGGATCCGCACGCACGGCCTCACGTTCAGTCGTGGGGTGGAAACGTAAAAGCTGATGGGAGCTGTTTCTGGCGGTGCCATCCACGAGAAGGACTGCTACCTTCGTTCCGTTCCGGCCTGTGTAGTGGGCTCGATCCTGTCCACGGCTATTTGTCGTGCAGGTGGTGTGCTATCTGGAATCGGCCTCGGCCCGGAACGTGGCTAGGTGGCGCACTTTGTTGGTGGTGAGCGGCTCGTCTTCAGCAGTGAGCATGTTGGGTAGTGTTCCCTTTCTGTCGCGACGAATGTCGCAACTCAAGCCAGCGTGCTCCTTCCTTTCAGCTTCGAACAAGGCGGACTACGGACTGGAGGACCTGCAGAATCTGAACGTCAAGGACCGCTTCTCGGTGTTCGAGCGCACCAATGAGGACGACCAGGAGAAGGGCCTGGCCTCAGTTGAGGTCAAGCGCTCGCAGAGCATCCTCAACAAAATGAAGAGGTACGCCCCGAATATCCGGTACTGCAGTTATGCAATACTATACCATCTGTATCGCGTTTTGCTCAATTATGCCCGCGATGGGGGAGCCGCACTCTCGTGTTTGGTTCATCATATTCGTTCCTCCGATTACGATGAACCGATGTTTCATTTCGTGTCAGAGATGCTTCTTACTGGTTTTACTGAGTTTGTTCTGAGTTTGTGGTACTGCTCTCTAAATTGACCTGCCGAAGTTTGTCCCCCACGTGTTGCTACGCGTCCCGATCTACAACCCCCGTCCGGCGCAATACCAGCGCCGCAGTTCCGCCTGGCGGCGGCCGCGGCAGCACTAGTGACGTGCCGGACCACCAGGTTCCAGGAGCGTGACTCGGCGCGGGACGCGGACTCGGCCTCCGGCGACGAGTCGGCGGACTCTGGCGACGAGCAGCGGCGCGACCCGGACCTGGTGCGCTCCACCAGCAAGACGCGGCGCGAGCGGCCCATCAGCTTCTCCGGCCTGGGAGACGTGAAGAGCCGGTTCGAGGGCGGCCGCCGCGAGCCCACGCCCGACGACAAGGGCGAGCAGACCAAGCTGCGCGGCATGATCTGCGGCGTGAGTGTGGCGGCCGCCGCGCCGGCATGTCCGTCTCGGTGCTGTGTCGACTGACCCGCGGCGCGCTGGGAGGTGTGTGGCAGGGCGGGGCCGGGTCACTGAGTACACGCCCGTGAAGCGGCCGCTCTGCTCAGTGAGTGGATGTGGGGGCGGCACATCGACGTGGGACACGGCGTCCCTCTTAATTCATTCGAGATGGTGGTGTGACCATTGGCGACGCCATGGTCTCATCATGAAGCTCTCAGAACCCTGTGCATGTTTTGCATTTCCGTTTGGTTGCCGCGTCGTCCGGTGCGCGTGGCTTTGTAGCTCGTGTGCGGCTGCATGCATGCGCCAGCCCGCGCCGGCCGAGCGCCGGGCGTCGAGCGCGCCTGAGCGGCCGCCCCTGCCCGTAGGCGCGCGAACACAAGCTGGCTTACGAGGAGGCCCTGAGGGAGCAGGAGGCCCAGGCCGAGAGCCGACGCTCTCTGGAGGACCCGAGCCTCGTCGTCCAGGTAGTAGAGTAGCGTCGGGTGCCGCATGACCCACACTCGGTAGACCAGGCTCGCAGGTGTCGCATGGTTGTACGGTGGCGGTGCTGGACCCTCTAAAAGGTCACGGTAGCGGGAACTCGCCCCTATCCGCCGTACTGCTCACTGAGGAGGTGGCGGCAGTCTTCGTAATATCTGTACAGCGGGCTCCAGAGCAGGTGCACTACGGCCCACATGCGCGAGTCTCATGCGGGGCCGGTGGTGCCGTTCCGTGCAGAAGGCGCGCAGGGTACTTCAACGGCCTGAGCCGTGGTTCGGTGCCTCACCCCAATATTGCGCGCGACACCTCGCCTCATTGGCCAGTGTGGTGACCCCGCTGTAACAGCACAGCGTCCTGGAAGCCAGACGTGCTGTAGCTGCAGCAGAGGAGGCTTCTTGGGACGAGCCTTGCTGTAGAGCATCGCTGTGTGGAACCTCATTGACATTTCATGACAGGGACTCTTACGATGCTCTTCCGTCGTCGCTAATAACGATACTTCTTAAACGTGTGACGTGGCGCCTCCTGAGGCGGGTGCGGCGCCGGTGCGTGTTATCGCACTGCGTCGTACCACCAGCAGACTAACATAGACGTACTCAGCTGACGCCATGCACGCCGGGTGGGTCTTCAGCTGTGGTGCCCATGTAACACGTGACGGTGCTGGGCTGTCTGTCTGCAGAACTCTTGTGAGTACTTGCTGCCAGTGCTTATTCAGTGGTATTGGTTTGTTTGTTGTTGCGTTCTGTTCGCACGCCGTTCATTAGTCATTGGGCGTTCGTAGATGTTTATCTACAGTTAAAAACCTGCTTTAAGCTGGTATATATATATATATATATATATATATATATATATATATATATATATACCTTCTTCACACAACTTTCTCGTGTATTGCTGGCCGAGGATGGCTTATTTTCCACTCCGTGTAATTGATTTTGAATCCCACCCTGTATCATAGCATCGAATGGTTTGGCGACTATAAGAACTGTGCTTGTCTTCGGCTCGTCCACAACTCGGCTGCGCGCTGCGTTAGTCGCTCCTCGTAAGCGCCTGTCCAGCTGACAGCGCCCGAGTGGAGCGCTCTCGCCCTCGCTGACCTCGGTGTCCGGACCGACCGCCAGGGTAACCTGCGGGCCTCATACGAGCGGGCGGTGCAGGAGTCCGGCTCGCCGCGGCCGGCGGCGGCGCGCGACCACGAGGCCGTGACGCGCCGCAGGGCGGCCGACATGGCGTCCCGCTTCGAGCGCGGCGACGTGGCGTCCGCGGAGACCGACGCCGACGCCGACGCGCCGGCCGTCAACGAGAACGGTACGGACGGCGGCGGCGGCGCCAGCGCCAAGCCGGCGGCTGCACAACGACACGCAGGGCTCGGCCAGGGTGTGCGCGCAGAACTGCGAGGTGACGGTTAGTCACTAAGCCCACACGGGCGCGGTTAATAAGCTTCAAATCTGGAGTGGGCAGGCACGGTCGACGTCATCGTAACCGGCCCGCGCTATCTAAAGCTGCGTTATCGGTGCCCGTCTATCCCGTCGTCTTGAGGCTCAGACCCTGCACAGCTGCCGTTGAGTGAGTTGCGCTTCGTGTCGTCCTGTGCTCCGCGGGCCGCCTGCGGCGTCACCTGACCGGCCGTGGTCTGGCGTGACCTGTCCCGGCCCCGGCTGACACGCCCGCTCCACCTCGCTGCAGGCGGCAGTCACAACGGCCACTCGCTGTCCCACGACCAGAGCTCGGCGGCAGGAGAGTCGGCCCTCGCCAGCCTGTCGTCGGACGCCGGCGGCAGCGAGCTCGCCAGGGTAAGTGTGCACCGACCGCCCTCCGTCGCTGTGCCGCCCGGCCGGCAGCAGCCCGCGCAGCGTGCCGGCCCCGCCGCCAACACACGCGGCCGCTGTCAACTGAGACGTCCTGGTGTCGTCCACCGGCGCGGACACTTGCTGGTGACGGGAGAGTGCGTGCAGTGGAAGCCTCCTGTGTATCGTCTCCGTGTCAATAAGATTCTGCGTTATGAACTTGCGACATGGTTTCTTTTGCACACTATCTGCACACCCTCGCCTGGTGCAGAGATGGCGACGGTGCGCTCGAGGCATGCCGAGAAGTAGGCGGTGACGGCTGCAGCTTAGGACGTCGCTCGGGCGTGCTCCTCGCCGATAATCCTGACATCGCCCACCGCGTGGTAGCCACCCGCTGCTACCGGCCCGGGTGGCGGCCACCTGTCCACCCGCTGGTACCGTCCCCATGGTGGTCACCTGCCCACCCGCCGGTACCGTCCGGGTGGCGGCCACCTGTCCACCCGCTGCTACCGGCCCGGGTGTCGGCCACCTGCCCTTCCGCTGGTACTGTCCGGGTGGCGGCCACCTGTCCACCCGCTGGTACCGTCCCGGTGGTGGCCACCTGCCCACCCGCTGTCCGGCGTCAGCTGGCCCTGGCGCCTTGCAGAACTCCCCGCAGTGTTGGGCCAAGAGGCCCGGCCGGCGCGGCGACGTCGTGGCGCCCAACTCGGCCATCTCCAGTCGGTTCCAGTTCTTCGAGGGTCTACGGCAGGGCGAGCCGCGGCGCGCCCGCTCGTTCAGGGCCACCCCGCCGCGCGCGCACAACGCCAAGGTGCTGACCGGCAGCCACCTCACCGGCGGCGGCGCCGGCTCACTCCTGTCGCTCGCTCGTGGCGTTTTTTTTTCTGACTGCGGCCGTTTTTGCCGCGGCACCCTCTCCGCACACACTTCTGGCCCTTCTGACCGCGAAGCACTTGTTTGCTGTCCGCTGCGTGAAGTTTTGGAGTGCTGTAGTGTTGGTACTTTTATGGCTTCGCCCTCTTGGTCGTGTGGTAAGTTGGCTAGATGCATTCCTCTCGCTAGCTGCCTTTCACAGAAGCTCCAGAAGACACCTCGTCTGCCTTTTTGTAGTCTATCGCTAGTGTCTGTCCCCTCGATGCATGGGGGTAACTGGCCTTTACGACTCGCCAGCAAGCTAATAACCCAACGAGCACTGTCAAATTTGTGACCGCTTCACTCCCGTTGGATGAAACACGTGTATATAGAGAGCCATCCAAAATCAGCCGCGCAGTTCTGTGCAGTGAGTGTCAAGTGGGGCGTGTACCGAAGCGTGCCATAGACTTGCCGCTCCTTAGCAGAGGCCTATCCTGCCGCTGGCAGAACCGCTGTGCTATCGGCATTATATCAGCTGCTGCGATTAGCGGGCCGCTAAGCCTCCGATAGCGCCGCCGTTTCTGGTACTGTGGGCGCGGTGCACCAGGACTGCCGGTCTGTCGTGTACACCGGCCCGCGGCCTGGCCGGTCGGCCGGCGGACCGCGTCACCTGCGCTGACCGCTGACCTGTGCTGACCGCTGACCACAGACCTGTGCTGACCACTGGCCTCTGTTGACCGCTTCACCTGCGCTGACCGCTGACCTGTACTGACCGCTGACCACAGACCTGTGCTGACCACTGACCTCTGTTGACCGCTTATCTGTGTTGACCTGTACTGACCGCTGACTTGTGCTGACCGCTTATCTGTGTTGACCTGTGCTGACCGCTGACCTGTGTTGACCTGTGCTGACCGCTGACCTGTGCTGACCGCTGATCTGTGCTGACCGCTGATCTGTGTTGACCTGTGCTGATCGCTGACCTGTGCTGACCACTGACCTCTGTTGACCGCTGATCTGTGTTGACCTGTGCTGACCGCTGACCTGTACGGACGCAGGGGGACTCGCCGGACGGTCAGGCCGTCATGGAGGCCCCGGTCGCCGACCCGGAGCTGCTGCACAGCGACACCACCAAACGCATGCTGAGCAAGTTCAAGCAGATGGAGCAGAGCACCGGCAACACAGACGAAGGTATGTCGAGCTGGGGTTGGCTCTGTCGAGGGACTCGCATGAGTCTGACAGCGCTTTTGAGGGTTACCACAGATAATCTGGGTTTTTAGATGCATCTGTAGTGTAAAACGAAACAAGAATATGATAATTCGCACTGCTTGCTATTGTTACTGGTGTTGTTATGGTCTGTCATGACTTTTCTGTTTTCAATGCGTTAAGATCGCTTCTCGGTTGGTTGTACCGTGTCAGCACCATTTGAAACGACAGCCAGCCTTCTGTTCTCAACGCAGCTAAGGAAAACGAAGTCAAAACAGTTCAGGAGCGTGTCCAGGCTTTCATGGGCCTGCAGAACAAAAAGAAAAGAGTCGCTCCAAAGCCGGCCAGAGATACGAAAAAGCCTTTTGAACCTGGTAGATCAATTCACATACGGTTCCTCTAGTTTGCTTGGCTCTGTTTAGTTGGTCAGTGTATCCTTCGCTCGCACCTGCTTGAAGAGTAAGCATGCTTATGCAGCTGAAGGTATGGCCCCCACTATCTGAACCTGATTTGCGGTGCCCTGAATGTTACGCGTCGCTTGTTACAGTTCTGTGGCTTGTGAGATCGGTCACTCAGCGAAATGCAAGTGTCTCAAACTTTGCGTATGCTTGATTTCTACCGTGGGCATTGATTGTAAAAGCCTCGCGGCATCATAAGCAGAAGATACTTCTAAATGCATGGCGTATTTGTTGTGCTTCCTGGCATCGCCTCGCATGCCGTGATTCTGTTCACTTCTGATTGGTTGGTCGCACATGTGACGTCACAGAGCTGAGCCTGAATCGCGAGAAGGCGCACGGTAACGCTCGTCAGATCCTGTCCAAGTTCCGACAGATGGAGGAAGATGCGCACAAGGAAGACCTGCCGGACGGTGAGGCTTCTAAAGACACTGCAGCCCAAGCCGATAAAAGCCGTGGTCGTCCCACAGCAATCTCACATGCATGCGATTTGGTACAGTTTGGCTTGGCACTTTCTCACCGGTGACGTTACTGGTCAAGGTGAAAGCACTCTAAATAAAGCTGATTTGCGGGAATGTCTCTCGTCGTTTTCCATAAAAAAACGGATTTCATGGGTTGAATTTGTGTGTACCGTGTTTGTGCGAATGGCTGGATGTTTACGTGACGGGGAGCAGACTGTTTTCGTTCTCGTGTAGCCATGAAGGCTCAAACCGCATGCTCTTCTCGACCGCCGCTGCCGGCCGCGCACGAGCGTGACAGTGTTGTGCGCGGCGCAGGCCCGCGCCCGCTCAAGTCGTTCACGCCACCGCCGGAGGAGCCGGCCGAGCCAGAGGACGCGGCTGAGGACAGCGAGGAGGAGCCGGAGGACCCCGACATCATCCGTGCCAGTCACAAGGTGCCCGACGAGTTTCTCAACAAGGTGAGATAGCGTCTGTAGTGAGGGAATTTCGGAGGGGGGGGGGGGAGAAGCCACCCCGGAGGCGGGTGGGTCGGCCGCAACAGAGGTTGTGGTCGCGAAGAACGCGTTACATGCAGGCATGCAGGAATATATGTACGTGACCAGTGGAATGTGGGGTTGTACGCGATCTCCGCTTTCTTTTGGAAATCATGGCAGCTATTGATGATATATGTCGTTGTGTTGGGCTTACCCGTAAGACGATCAAAGCCGACGCACTCTAATTCTGAGCTCGCGTCAATGCCCGAGTCAGTCGCCGCGGCGACGCCCGTACCCCTAATCTCCCCCCCCCCCCCCCCCTGTTCCGTAAGGCCGCCCTGATCTCCCCTCCCGCCGGCAGCGCACGGACCAGGCTCGCTCGCTGCGGGACAAGTTCGAGAGCTGGGGCCCGCCGGCCGGCCGCGACGACAAGTTCACCGTGGAGGACGATTGTCGGCCCAGTCTCGAGATCACGCGCAGTCTGCGCGCCAAGTTTGAGTCGCTGAACGAGCCGCAGAAGCCGGCTGAGAAGACGCAGCACCGGGCCAGCCGCTTCATCGTGAGTGGTCGCCGGCGCCAGCAGGCGGGCGGGTGGGTCACACGCGGGAGACAGCCCTCCGTCTGTGTCACCGGTGTTTTGGCAGTGACATGCGCCTCTTGTACTCGCTGCTTCCTCGCCTTTGTGGTGTGTTTCCGTGCCCTTGGCTGAGTGGCGGTCCTCCCCCGACTTGTGGCGGTCTGATGGGCTGCGGAGTCAGGCTGGGGACAGGCGTAGACAGGCGACAGGCTGGGGACATCGATCTGACTGGCCTGATCTGGCTGTGGCCACTCGCCAACCGACTGTGTCCAAACCGCGCCAACCGTCGTCGTGCCTAGCGAACCGATCCGTGCTCCCCTGGTGTTGAAAAGCCATCCAAATGCACGTTAGCGGATCCGTCTAAATCGTGAAGATCTGCTGCCTCGCCTACAAAGCCAGGACAGAGACTGGCGTGGCAGAGACTGGGTGTGGGGTGCCGGTTCGTCCCCCTCAGTCGGACGGTGCCGGGTTTGCAGTCGGTTGCAGTCGGTGCCGGGGCTGTAGTTGCTCAGTCGGACGGTGCCGGGGTTGCAGGCGGCCGGCGCCGCCTGCGTGCTGGGCTTCGCGCTGTATTGCCTGGCACTGATCGTCTTCTGAGGAGCAGCGGGCCGGGCCGCCAGCGGTCAGCCCTGTGGGGCGTCACCCGGCCTGGGCGTCAGCTTCCCACGTGACGTGCTCTAGTCGTGTGTGTTGGTGTGCTCTGTCGCGTCATTCCAGAAAGCCCCGTGGACCGGAGTCGCCACTGGATTAGCGATTAATAGGCGTTTACTAATACGGCCTGCTCGTCTCACAGCTGTGCAGTGCGGTGGCTAACCGTAGGTGGCGGTAGCAGGACGGGACTGTCTAACGCTTGAAATAATCCACACCGCCGTGTGTAAATTGTTATATAGACGCGTGCAGTTAAAATGATACGCGGTATGATTGGTATTAACCGTAACAATATCGTGGTTGTGTTTGGAGTGTTGTGGTGACCGGCGTTTTGGGTCTTACGATGACTAAGCGCGATACAATTGTAACCGACGCCAGGTCAGTCTCATATTTGATAAAAACACGCCGTTTTGCACAACTCGCTCCCAGCATTCCACCCTGAGTTTTCAAGTATTTTCTTCCCAAGAGCTGTCATGCAGACTGTCTGAAATGACGCTCTGAAGTGTCACGTCAAACAAGTCTACCGCACTTCTGTAGGGCTGACGTTGAGGCCAGCGCGTTGCAAAAAGTTACAGAATAAAGAGCTAATGTTAGCAAACAAAAAGTCGTCGGGACAAAATACCGTAACGGTCTATCTACGCAATATATAATATATATATATATATATATATATATATATATATATATATATATATTGATGTATATATATATATATATTGATGTATATATATATATATATATATATATATATGCATATATATATATATATATCAACTTATTTATTTAAAACAATATTCTGTGTGAATAACTGCAAACTATTCAGATAGTTGTATAATTAGTTAGTGTTCAAGATGTGTCCTAAGAGTTGTGATTGATTCGCCATTTATATCCTTCGTTCAAACCTTCGCTTCGACGGACGACCCTGACCCGGCTTGCAGTGGCGCGAGCGCCCCCTGCCGGCGCCCCTCCGCTGGGCTGACCTGGTCTGTTGGTCCCCAGTGAACGCCGCACGCCGCTCCCGCGCGGCCGCCGCCGCAGCGCGCCCCACCGGCGTCCGCTCCGACTGTTGGACGCGCCGTCAGGGCGCGCTGCGGGCGTAGATGACGGGATGTCGGACGGCGCTTGGCGTGGGACCAAACTGTGCAGACGCGGACGCTGCGAGTGTTGTTCGAGTGTTGTGTGTCGTTGTGTGGAAGCGAGACGGTTAAACATGTTCATGGTTGTTGTGCGCTACGATAAGCCGCTAATATCGCTGCGCCTCTCTTCGCGTTCGCGCTTTCTGGCACTTTCGCAACTGGACACAGCGCCATCTGTAAATGCGTGCCTTTCTAATACAACATATCTGCACATTCCTTGCACTCTCGACAGCTTTCTGACAACTGCACGACAGATTTCCAGACAGACGGGGACGGGTAACAGACAAGTAAGTTGTTTCTGAGCGCGCCTCCCCCGCATGCTCTAACCCTTCACCCGACACCTGTAGCCGTAGCCCTCAGCTTGTTTCAGACTGGTGACACGTGACCGTACCGCCGAGTACGCACGTGGTCACGTGACGCGCGGGCCGGTGGCATGAGCTCGAGGCCCACCCGCCGCTGTTGGCTCTGACTCAGCTGTTAGCTAACTACGGTACTAGAATTGCCTGCACTTTCCTGTTGGGCATTTTCAGGTGCGAACATTCCGTATCGGCGGCTTGCAGCTGAGACGAGCGTTGATGTTCTGCGTTCGTGTGGGTCGTTCTGTCTGCTGGGTGTATCAGGTGTGGTTTGTGTCCCCGGTGTTTCAAAACCAAGTGCGTTTTGAGATTCTTGCTGTGCCGTTTGCAAGAACTTTTTTGTTCAATTTGAATCCACCCTCGCCCTTGTGTTCCTGCCGCTTGCGCCCGAGTTGGCGTTCAGCTTCGCGGCTTGATAACCCGTAGCGATACCTGTCATGGTCTTCCCACGAAATTTCTTATCAAGAGTGACGTTATTCCCCGCGCCTTTAGTCCGCCCGAGCCCGAATGTCGTTCAGTGATTCGGTGCGACTTCGTACCATATATCACATATAATATACATATATCTCTATCTTTCTATATATAATATAACATTCATATATATATATATATATATATATATATATATATATATATATATCTATATATATATCTATATATATCTATATATATCTATATATATATATATATATTGGTATTGATATTGATATTGTTATTAATATGTATGCATTAAATATGTTGTATATATATATATATATATATATATATATATATATATATATATACATACAATAATTGATATATCCGCGCACATTGCGTCCCCGGGAGGGGGTCCTCTGGAAGTCACCTATTTCCCCCCGCAGCTACATCCGTCCCCTCTTCCGTGCATTGGTTTGTCAGACCCCACGAGACGTCTCACGTTCTACCCTCGTGACTTCTGGCGCTGACACCCGGCGGCGTCCCCAGATGGAGCCGAATCAGGCGGCTGAGATGTGCGACGCCTGCAACAAACGCGTCTACGCCATGGAGCGGCTCGAGGTCGACAAACGAATCCTGCACAAGAACTGCTTCCGCTGCTCAAAGTGCAACTGCGTGCTGAGGTAGGGCCGGCGGTGGCGGCGGCAGTGTACGGATGTAATGCTGGGGCTTGGAGCGCCGCGCGGGCGCGTGGTGGATCGCGACTTTATGAGGGACTCAGCTGAGACACGTCTCTAGTAACAAAGTTACGCCGCAAGTTGTGTGCGAAGTGCGCAGGGCGGACGAACGGGCGCTGACGCAAGCCAGTGCGGTATGCGTGACGTATAATGGCGCGGTTCTATACGGTGCGCGCGAAATTTCTGGCGCGCTTTGTCGTCTTCAGGGGCAGTAGTTGGAGCACTGGGCTTTGGTTTGCTGACCGCGTCTGTCCTCATTTCAGAATGGACACCTACACATTTAATGCAGGGAAACTATTTTGCACGCCGCACTTCAAGCAGATGTTCAAGACCAAGGGCAACTACGACGAGGGTTTCGGCCTCGAGTCGCGGACGAAGCACTGGAGCAGCAGCCACACGGACCACTCGGCCAGCAACGGCACCAATGGCGCCGCACCGCGGCCGGGCAACACACCAGCCGAGACGAACGGCGGCAGCCCCGAGCCGCGTGACGCGGACGATAACCTGGAGCCGCTGGAGCAGGAGGAGGAGGAGGAGCGGGAGCGGGAGCGGCAGGAGGAGGAGGACGAGGTCATCCTCGCCCGCGACGAGGCCGAGCCAACCGCGGACGTGTTTCAAAAGGTGTACGAGTCGACGGTGGCGGAGAACATGTGATGCGAGCGACGACGAGCGATCATTTATCCGTGCCCGGGTGGATGGCCCGCGCCGACGGCCCCTTTCCGCCTGCGCCGACGCCGCGTGAGAGACTCTGTAGACAACGCTTGCGTTATTTTTTTTCTGAGCTGGTAGGCGACGCTCATCTGGTGCGCGCTTGGACGCCTAGTTTTACTGCGGAGCCGCCGCCGCGTGAGTGCCGAGTCCAAGCCGGACGATCGGGAGAGACGGCGGTGCGGCACTGTGATGATCGTCGCCCGCGGGCCGGCGGGCCGCCCGCCTGCTATGAACCGCCGCCGGCGCCCCTGCTATAGTCGCAGTGCCCGCTTCGCCGTTTTAGTTTCGTAGAGAAATTTTATCCGTCTCGCACTTTGTATTTTGTTATTTTAAAGTGCTTTGTATACAATGATTGAGAGCCATTTAAATATAAGTTAAAGTCTTAGTGTGCTGAGTGTGATACTGAGTGACCGTTGTCGCCCCTTACGTCGACGAGAGGACAGAAAAGGTTATCATAATGCGGCGGGCCGGGACAGATAATTATAATCTTGCCACGCAGCCGTAATCCGAAGATTATGGCTGTGTGTATTCGATAGCACTTATGCAGGCCTTTCAGCTTCTAGCACAACGAAGGTGCCAGGTGTTTTTGTATGTTGCTTTGCCTCCGGCCGACATGCCCCTTTTTGTTGAAATCACCTCGTGATTACATGGCTAACTGCGGCGGACGTGCACGAAGAGTGATGGCCATAATATGGCCACCAGGGAAAAATACTTAGAAACATACCCAAATATTGCGACTGGTGCATTCGATGGCACTCGTACATGCCTGTTGCCTGCCAGCAAAGCACGCTCCTGCGATTTCTCCTTCGAATGTTTCCCGTCGATCCCTCCCGTCGATCCCCGAAAGTGCATCACTCAATGTAGGCCGGCTGGTTGGAGAGGTGGTTTGCGAAGACACGGCGTCCAACTTGAAATACTTTTACTTGTGCCAGGAAGGTGCAACATTTCTGTAACGGCGCCCGACTTGAAATGCTTTTACTTGTGTCAGGAAGGCGCAATCTTTCTGTAATGACGTCATGTTGTTAATGCGATCGGCCGGCAATAAGAACTTTTATTCGGTAACCGTCGCCTTTTTTGTTCATCATCATTCATCATCATCATCATCATCATCATCATCGTGGCAGCGGAGAGCTAACGACGGCGTGACAGTGCGTACAGCTATCTCGAGAATGCAGGGAAAAGCCCGGGAAAATACTTATGGTCAAGCTGGAATACCGCGTATTAGTGCACTCGATAGAGGTGGCATCGGAATGATTTCTATGTGAAAATATTTGAAAAACTTGTGCTTCTGCGCGGAACGTGCAATCTAGCAGCAGCGATGTTATTGTAGAAGCATTGTCGACCGGGATCGAAAATATCGCACCGGCGGACATAACCTTTTTTGTTCCAATCGTCCTTTGACAGCGCGGAGCTAACGGTGGCCGGCCTACATATTTAGTGATGACATCCAATCATCCTTTGACGGCGCGGAACTAACGGTGGCCGGCCTACATATTTAGCGATGACATCCAATCACCCTTTGACAGCGCGGAGCTAACGGTGGCCCGCCTACATATTTAGTGATGACAATGGCGGCCCAGGAAAAATGTTTACTTGAAAACCGAGAACTGCCTATGTATGCATTCGCTAGCGCCGGTATAGAGCTATCAGTTGCCGGTGAAACACGCGTCAGATTTCGGTTTCGATTGTATTTCGTCGCCCCGCCGACTTCGAATCACTGAATGTTTGCGGGCCTGAAGGGGCAGCTTGACAGCGCTTCGCCAGCGGCGTCCAGCTCGCACGTACACTGATGGTCATAACACGGCTGCTCGTGAGAATATTCGTAATCCAATCCGAAGGTTGCATTTGGGTATACTCGATGACGCTGGTACAGGGCTGTCATCAGTCAGCACAACGCACGCGTCGAACTTTTGTTTCGATTGTATTCGCTCGACCTCCAACAGCGTATCACTCAATGACTGCGTGATGGCAGTAGACACGTCGTCCGGCAACTGGCAACAGATGCCTCGTCCAATTTGAAGTGACTTTACTTCTGAAAGGGAGAGGCATCCTCGCGCAAACGACGTTATTGTGGGAGTACTGTCGGCCGGTTATGTAAACCTCGCATCAGTGGGGCAAAACCCCGATCACCGCTGCGCGGCGGCCCAGCGAACTGTCTGCCCATCAGGCGGTGGGTGTGAGATTATATAACCCTCCCTCAGACAAGGTTCGATGCGACACTCTAAGGGTTTTTGAGGATGCCTCTCCGGCTTGCTGTACAATCGTGCCCAAATTTTCAATGGCCCATAGACATCAAATTGCGTGTGTTTTGACAACAGAAACGTTTTTCTAGCTTTTCTGGTTCCGGATTACCGGCGGTTTTTTGGGAACAATGCATGCCGACCTACGGCGGCGCGGGCGACCGGAGATAAAAAAGCTCACTGCTAGCTGTTGATGTATTTCAAGTCGAAATGACTGTTCTAGACAGCACAATTTCTCTGTTCAGTACATATGTTCCTTAATACGTCACTATTGGACTGTCACCGTACCTTGCAAACATTTATTGAGAACCAATTAACGGCCGTCATATCTGGAAATCGTGCGAACGAACGTCAAATATGAACGCCTCGACAATGATATTTTCACGGCCTTGATCGGCGCATGACAAACGGAATGACGGGATTTTAATGGCGTTATCATGAGGGCTGTGAAATGCACCGAATGATTTTCAAGATGGCTTTTGCTGTTCAAAACCCCATACAAATGTGGAACACTCACTTTAACTGAACCGCATGTCATAAATACATCATAACACACAAAAATATACACAATTGTACTCATAATTGAACAAGGAATACGCCTACTTTAGCTTCGTCTCACCAGAAGGCATGGTGACACGAAACTGATGTACGACGTGTGAAAATAGCGTACGTTTGAACGATGTTGTAAAGCTGAAAAGTACGATTTTTTTGGATAAACTGACCTTTGATCTGCTATGATGTAGGCAATGACTGATCTAATAACATGACAACTAGTACTGTTTTCTGCTGAACTTTTAAGGAACGCCAGGGAGCTGCATCGCCGCTCGTCTTCCCAGTCCGCATTATAAAAACGGCGAACCGGAGCGGCCAGTTAACAACCCGGCTGACATCATTTCTGCGCTGGAGCGCTCAGTGCGAGAGCTCCCTCGAGCCGGCTGCGTAACAAAGGTGTTTGCGTTCCTTTGGGCGACTATGGCGCTAGAAACTACAGCGGAGCTGGAAATCGTTGGTGGTTTGGAGTCCTTCATGCGCGGTGAACACATCACTAGCCGTTTCTAATACATCCGCTCTCGCCTTTACGAAACGATAGCTGGTCGGCATCTAATGCGTTTCTGCGCTGTGTCCACCAACACACTGAACCGCCTGCCGAAGCGTGTCTTCATCGTGCTGGTGTAAGCTAGTTTCAGTGCGTCAACAGCTCGATGGGGAGGTCCTCTGTACCGTGTCCGCACTCGCACCCGCGCGTGCCGGCTCGTGGCTACGCGGCAGTGGTTTGGACCGACGCGCACGGTCTGCATGCACGCTCACGCGTATAGGACGCACACGTGTTTGACACATGCACACATGAAACGTGCCCAAACGCACGTGCATTGTCTCAGCATCATGGCCAGCAATATCCCCATGTGGATTCTGAGAGCCCGCTTTTGTGAAAGCGTTTCTTTACCATCCATCGAAAAAGTGGGGGTAAGAGCGCTTTTGGCAGGGTCACGTATGCGAACTACAGATACTGGCTACATCTCTCCGCCTCGATAGAAGAACGATAGTCTCGGCCGCTCCTGCTGTTCCCTCTATACGAAAAACACGTAATATATTTGATACATTCAGGCGTTCTTCTGCACACCATTTGGTGTCCAACTATCCGATAAAATCAGACCAGACGTCACAGCGCCCCTATCTGGCGTCACCACTGACGTCACAGTGCCTCACACACTATCCGGTGTCCGACTATATGATAAAGTCTGACCAGACGCGTCACCACTGACGTCACGAAGTCCTCCCGCACACACACTTTCCGGTGTCGAACGATAAAACTGACAAGTGAATGACCACTTGTATTGAGTTTGGTGCTGCTGCCTACTCCTGAGCAGGTTTCTAGTCGTCTCTGGCATCATTCGCCTCGCCACCAGACCACCACTGCCAAACATGCCCCAAGCTTTGCTGAACACAAGGGAGGGCGTGGGCTACGCGTGCAGCTGGGAATCGGCAGTTCACAGGATTAGATTGATGCTTTGTAGACTGACACTTCGGTGATTGGTGAATCTGGGCAATTTCAATGACAACGCTAGTGAATTTGCAATGATTTATGGCTTTGGCAAGTGGGAGCGAAACATTGCGAACACACAGCCATTTTGGGTGGATACTGGTCGTAATAAGCATACCTACACATGTCACTTGCGCAGCCTCGGCTTACATTACAGCGTTCTGTTAAGATACATTTCGGGAACGGTGACGGACAGACAAGAAGCTGGGTTGGGGTGGGGTAATATTTAGGTACCGAAATCAAGGCCTTCTGATAGTGCGCACGTCGGCTGCTGCGCCCAGAAAGGCTCAACTCCAGGCTGGACGGACTGGACGGTCCATCGCTTTCTCTTTCACTCACTCTCTCTCTCTCTCTCTTCTGGAAAACGGGACGACCGCACCGGCCAATGAACCCTGTTTCCCCATAGCTCTGGCACTCGCTAGGCGTGCGGCCTCGCTTGCTAGTCGTCCAAACGAACTCCTCGAGTCGCACAGCGATCGTAAAATCAAGCATGTATTGCGTACATGTCTTAAGTACAAAGCGATCTCTGTCAGTATCCAAACACAGACTGCAATCACTCCCGATCACAAAATCAAGCTCTGCCCCGAATTTGCAGCGGCCGGGCGCGATCTCTCAGCGCCCAGTCCGTTGTCCGGGGCCACCTCCCGACGGAGCGCGGTGCGGTACGACGCTGCGGTCCGGGGTCTGTCTGCCGGGCCGGCCGGCGCGGACTGCGGTGCAGCGGCCGGGGCCGATAACCGCGGCGGCCGGCGGGTGATGACGCGCCACGGGGTGCCTCTCTGGTGACTGCATGCGGCTGCACAGGCGAGTTGGGCACGGAGTCAGACACCGCTGGCCGGCCACACCCCCGCGAGTGGAGCGAACGGGCAGCCAGGAAGCCGACCCGTCCCACGCCCGCCGGCCCCAGCCTGGATGCCATTTGAGCTTATTACGTTGTACGATTCCCTCGAATCGCCGCAGGAAGAGCGGTGCGCAGCCGGAAGCATGGTCTGCAGGCTCGCCAATCGCGGCGTCCGGCCGACGGTCGCGCGACGCTACACTGCCATTGAGCATTTATAGCGGCCCGCGGCCGGACGCCACTAAACACTACACAAAACACGAGACGCGATCATGTACAATTATCACGCGGGCGGCGGTCGGGCCGCAAAAGTATCATCCAAAACTGTTACCTCAATCGTTGTGGTCCCATGGACATATATCCGCAAGACTAGTGTGGATAACACGCGATGTTATCTCCCACATGGCCATCGACACGTCCGGTAGGGCCGCGCCGGGTCGTCGGCGGCGCGGGTCGACAGGGCCGTCCTGCCCCGACCCGCGGCCGCCTGGCGCCGCCGCGTCGCGTGCGCCCGGCTCTGACCGGACGCGGCGTCGGTACGCTCACGTGTTCACGCCCTTTGCGGCCGCTCACGGAGCGTCACCAGTCTTAAAGCGTCGTCAGCCGCGCCCGGCAATGTCTGAACACGAGCGCGAGCGCGAACGCACACACAACCACGGGGCTAATGAAAGGCGGTAACATGACGGTGGGTACAGGAGGCCGGCGGCGGCGCGCCGGCCCGGCCCGTCTCGTGCAGATCTCTGCCACTGCCTGCCTGTCGGCCGCGCGGGCCGCGACGGCCGCTAGATCTGCTTCTTCTTGATCTTCTGCGCGGCGGTGATGTTCTTCTTGAGCGTTGAGATGTCACCGGCGATGGTGAGGAACGAGTGAGCGAGCAGGTCCTCGGCCGAGGCGCGGTTGTCCACCTCCACCTCCAGACAGGCGTCCAGGAAGCTCTGCCGGCGACAGGGACATCCCGTGTCGGCATGCGCGGCCGGCGGGCAGGCGCGGACGCAGCGACGCTGACAAGTCGAGCGGTCACCGCCGGAACTGTGCCAGCTGTCGCCGGTATTATGAGCTGCCCCCGTGAGTTGACACGCGGTGGCAAGTGAACGCGGACGCTCGGTGTTGCCACATGCCATCAGAAATGGTGGACCAGAATAAGATTCGAGCTTATGACCAAAACAGCTTTCTGAAGGAAGAGCAGCACATTCCAGCAGACTACCAGTGGTCGCTAAGATTCAAACACACCAGCGCACCGCGTCACCAGCCGACACCGACAGCCCAATCGGAGGAGCGCTCCCGGCGCGCCCCTGACGACTCCGCGACGCCCTGGCCGTGACTCAGCTGCGCACGCGCACGCCTGGCTGGCCAGGCCGCCGGTCGGCACACGTGACGGCGTGAGTCACGGCGTCGCCAGCCGCACGTGCCGCCAGCCCCTCGTTACGCCATCTGAGTCCGGCGACGTCTCCGGCTCGGCCGCAGACCGTGACTCGCCACACGGCTATACAGGGACGGAGGGCAGACGCGACCGCCCGCTGCCACTCTCTGGTGACGCAGTGGCCGTGCGTTTCGTCCCGCCCCCATGCGCGCGACTCAACCCCAAAAGGCGGACAACGGTGCCACATGCGTTGTCGTGCTCTCCGAAAAGAGTGGCGGACTGAACAGGTCCGAACGTATGGTACCACCGCGGTTTATTCCGATGAACCACGATGTGCTAGTAGCGTACTTCGCCCCCAATTACCACATATAACCTAGGACTATTGGGCTGTTGATATCACGGGCGTACAAGCAAGCGTCAGCCGCTGTAATCTCGGCCAGACGACAGAGCGATGTAATTCCGCTGGCAGGGTGTCAAACGGAGATGTGATGAAACGCCCGGGGAATATCTCGTATGGTGATGAGACTTGACTCAGGTAAAACGACACGCAATGTTCTTGCGGCGACATATCATAACCCAAGAACCACGAAGGTACGAAGACCCAAAATCGACGTGAAACATACGTTGACACGACTCGCAGTGACCTAGCCTAACCCTGCACGATGACTCAGCTGTAGCGGCTTGGCTTCTGAGGCACGTCGGCTATCCACGTGCTATTTGTGCCCAACCCACATCCTTCCCGGTCACACTTCCCTGATTCGAGCTGCACCAGCACGCCGGCTCCACACGTGACCCGCCTTGCGACAACACATGTTAAGCTAATGATTTTTCGTTAGTTAAGACAATATTTGATGTACGTAATTTTCATTCCCACTAGCATTCCCATCAGGACCAGCAAAAGCCTCCTGCAGCAGGACGCGATCCCCAGACCTCCGGCCTCGGAGCCGGGCGCGCCTCTCACCTTGAAGAGGTCGGACACGGTGTACTCGGCGGAGATCTCCGGCTTGCCGTGCGTGGCGATCAGGTAGAGCGCCCTGAGCGGCGCCTCGTTCAGGTAGGGCGGCTCGCCCGTGATCATCTCGATGGCCATGATGCCCAGCGACCACACGTCCACCTTCTTGCCGTACTTCTTCCGCGTCACCACCTGTCGACCGGCGGCGGGGAACGTCAGCGAACGGCTCCCGGGGCCGAGCGCCGCTCCGCGGACCCGAGACGGCTCCGGGCTGACGGTCGACAGACGGCTCTTGGTCAGGGGCTGCGGGACTAAGCCCGCACAATGACAGAGAAACAGCTCCGCCTTCATCGTAGGCTCTATGGGCCGGATCTCCAACACTCTGTAGTTCTTATCGTAGGTGCGAGACAACAATACCGGTTCGAAAGCACCTCACAAGTCACTACAGATGATCCCAACAATTTTGCAACAAAAAAGCCAGCAGAAGGCCCTGCGGGTTTTCACGCCGCGTCTGATCTGGAGTCGCGTCCGTGCGCGGCCGGTGGGTCCCCGTCTACGGCCTCACCTCGGGCGCCATCCAGTACGGCGTGCCGACCATGGTCTGCCGCTTCTCGTCGCCTTGAATGTTGGCGCAGAAGCCGAAGTCCGTGATCTTCACCGACCCGTCCTTACCCAGCAGGATGTTGTCCGACTTGATGTCGCGGTGCACAATGCCCTGCACGGTCGGGGCGCAATGTCAGCTCGCACCTACCACGGGCGGATGGTGGAGACTCAAGACGCACCCCCCCCCCCCCCCATTCGGGGTCCTGTGACCAAGATATACTGGATGCATAGTTTCCGTCACATGAGGTACACAGACAGCGCCTGTTTGGCATATAATGCCAACATCAAGTAAGGGATAATTTTCCGAAGGAGCTGTTTGCATTGCTCACCAAGGAATGCAAGAACTGGAGGCCTTGCAACACTTCCTTGACGACGGCGGCAATTTGCGACTCTTTCAAGACCGTTTCCATGACGACGTCGGTGAGAGGTCCGCCCTCCAACAGCTCCATCACAACCTGAGGAACACGGTCGATGCTCATACAATACACCGAAACATAAGATCCAGGTACTTCCCGGCGCGGCGACCACTCAAAACGATTAGATCGGCTCGGCTTTTTGTCGTGGCAATCACACCAGCGCGCAAACTACACAGTCGTTGCGCGAGCTTGGCACATCTACCATAAGTTGGTTGGCATACTTGCCTGACATTAGTTTCTACCGCGTGTTCACTTACCGCTACAATCGACACCCAGTGAGCGTCTTGCAAGCGGCCATCCCCGCCACGCGGCACCCGGTGGCTCTGCCCCGCGGCTCTGCCGCGGCCCATGCGCGGCCAGGCGCACGCGCGGATCTGACCTGACGGCCGCAGCCCGCCCCGCCCACCGCGACACTCACATAGAGGTGCTCGCCGACCAGGTGCGCGTCTAGGAAGTTGACCAGGTTGGGGTGATGCACGTCGCGCATGACCTGGATCTCGGTCAGGATGAGGTCGCGACGCGGCTGCTTGGTCAGGTCGATGTCCTTGATGGCCACGCGCTGGCCGCTGGACCGCTCCGTCGCCAGGTTGACGATGCCGGACGCGCTGTTGGTGGCGGGACGAGCCGTCATGCGCGGCCAGACGCAGACGCGGATCTGACCTGACAGCCGCAGCCAATGGAGCTACCAGTACCACAGCCTGGTACAGACCGCCCACGGCGGCAGCCACTGCGCCGGAAGCCAGCACGACCGCAGCTTCTGACACTGAACGGCGCCTCTGCCGCCGGTAACATCGGTACGGCTGGGGTAGACACGTCACCGACCGTGCCGCGGGCTATCCTCAGTACGCGTTAGTGGCTCGCCTCGACCACCATACCAGTCTGTCTGTCCCACCACAATCCTGCACTACCACGATAACACTGTACCCAGCCCTTACATCCTCTACTGTCCACCCCCCCCCCCCCCCCCCCCCCCCCCCCCCCACCCTGTCCGCAACACATCCCATCGGCACCACCAGCCGTGACCATGCACGGACGGCGCCAGCACCACCACCTGTGACTCCGCACGGACGGTGCCAGCAACACCAGCCGCGACACTCCACCGACGGCGCTGCAGCCGCTCTCACCCGGCCCCCAGCTCCTTGTCGAAGGCGAAGCGTTCCCGTGGGTCGCCGGGCGCACAGATGGCGCGCAGCTCCTCGTTCACCATGGCGTTGGTCATCTTGGGCTTCTCCACCTGGCGTTTGCGCATGAGCGGGCTGGGCGCGGCGCCATTGCCCTCTCGGCCGCCCACCTTGGCCGGGATCGGTGGCGGCACGTCTTCGGTGGTTGCCTCCGGGTGTTCGACGGCCGGCGGCGGCGGCTCTGGCGTCTACGCACGTCGCAGTGGCGGGTCAGAGGTCACGCCGTCGCACGGGGCAGACTGGGACGGGCCATCGCATGGGGCGGACTGGGACGGGATATCGCATGGGGCAGACTGGGACGGGCCATCGCATGGGGAGGACTGGGACGGGATATCGCACGAGGCGGACTGGGACGGGCCAGCACACGGGGCGGACTGGGACGGGATATCGCACGGGGCGGACTGGGACGGGATATCGCACGGGGCGGACTGGGACGGGATATCGCACGAGGCGGACTGGGACGGGATATCGCACGAGGCGGACTGGGACGGGCCATCACACGGGGCGGACTGGGACGGGATATCGCATGGGGCGGACTGGGACGGGCCATCACATGGGGCGGACTGGGACGGGCCGTCGCATGGGGCGGACTGGGACGGGATATCGCATGGGGCGGACAGGGACGGGCCATCACATGGGGCGGACTGAGACGGACAGCAGGAGCCAGTGAGTAAGGGGATACAAAAGCGGGTGAGGGCTCGGTCTCTTGGGCCCACGCACGAGACGGGAGAAAGGCCGGGGCCGGTCGCTGCGAGCACGACGAATGAGATGGGACAGACGCCAGGTCAGGATTTCTGGAAGCGTGATACACAAGACGGGACAGAGGCCAGCGCGGTGGCTCAGCCAGGAAAACAGCCACGAAAAGCTGAGAACATTGTGGGCTGTTCAGCGGAGGCTGGGACTCGACGACCCAGAGCGCGACGCCAACACACATCCGGCTCGGAAACAGCAGCAGTCGCGTGCCTGTAAGGCCACACATGAGCCTCCACTAATGGGCCAGAGGTCGGAACACACATCTGACGCGAACAGCTGTCCGGCCCCGGCCGCGGCTGAGGGCCGGCCCGGGTCGGATCAGGCCGTAGTTTGGCATGGGCCGATTCTCGTCATCATGGCGCCTCACATCAGCTTCCTTCTGCGCCTGCTCATGGAGCCCTTTCGGCACCTCCGAAGGCACTGGTGCGGGCGGCTTCAGTGTGATCTTGGAGTCTGAAATGGGACAATAAACATGTGGAACCACTTCTAAACGACGCTTTTCATTTTACTCATGAACAGTTCTGACCGACGACACCATTACCAGAACTATAACTACCTCCAAAAGTAAGAGCCCTTGACACATGAGCTATAATGCACTAAACAGCAATAAACCACTTCAACCTGTGTGGTAGATGTTGGCGCCAGTTTTCCGTTCTGGCGGGTAGTCGGTCCGACTGGCGCGCGCGGCCGAGTCGGCTGGCTCCGGGTCGGCCCAGGTGAGCTGACCGAGGTCAGGAGTGCAGCTCCACAGGGATGGTGTGAGGACGGGCAGGAGCGGCTGGCTCCAGGCCGGCCCAGGTGAGCTGACCAAGGTCAGGCGTGCAGCCCCACAGGGGTGGCTTGAAGACGGGCAGGGTCGGCTGGCCCCGGGCCGGCCCAGGTGAGCTGACCGAGGTCAGGAGTACAGCCCCGCAGGGGTGGGGTGAGGACGGGCAGGATCGGCTGGCTTTGCACCGGCCCAGGTGAGCTGACCGAGGTCAGGCGTGCAGCCCCACAGGGGTGGAGTGAGAACGGGCAGGAGCGGCTGGCTCCGAGCCGGCCCAGGTGAGCTGACCGAGGTAAGGCGTGCAGCCCCACAGGGGTGGGGTGAGGACGGGCAGGATCGGCTGGCTTTGCACCGGCCCAGGAGCTGACCGAGGTCGGGAGTGCAGCCCCACAGGGGTGGAGTGAGGACGGGCAGGGGCGGTGGCGGTGTGTGTGCTGTGGTGTCCGCAGGTGCCGTCCAGCAGACGGAAATGATGCACTTGGCTCGTTGTGCAGTTGACCAATGCAGGGCATTCATATATACAGACATCATATGCACAGGCCGCAATGTTTACAATCTGTTTTGTCCACAAATCATAAGGCAACTAAAGTAATTACAAAAGATCACATCATAACTTGAACATTCTCATGCAAAACATGATCCAAGTCCGGGTGGACATACCAAGGATGTGGTTTGATTTCTTCCATCTCTTCGTCAATTGCATCTTGTGTAATAAATGGCTTAAAAGGTGCATTTTGCGTTGGTTTCTTTAAAGAGTAGTTGAAGAGCTTGAGGGCATTGATGGCAGCATCAGGATTCTGCTGCTGTTCATCCTTGCTGCGAAAGACAGAAAGGTGCCTTTGATAATCATGTGCTGGAAGGGCCTGTTACATTTGTGACATATTTCGATGCACATTCTAATAGTTCAATGATAAATGAATGACGACGTATTCTAATCATGAAATTACAAGACACGAATACCGTAAAGTGACACTGAAACCCTACGCGCAAAAAAACAATAAAAGCAAATGAATGTACACCGATGTTAAGATTGTACATCACAGCATATGTAACCAAAGCATGACACTCATCACCTTATACTCACAAGGACAAAAGAGCCTTGCTTTTAGGCAGTAACCAGCCAGTGTCGATATGAGTCCTACATGCAACACCGTGAGAGACACAAATCTGACCCATTTTACCCCACGTGGCGCCGGAAGCGGCCGTCTCGCTGCGCGTCTGACCTGAGGAACTTGTCGATGAAGCGCTGCCAAGATTCGGGCAGGCCTTCCAGCACGCCATCCTCATTCTTGCCCACGTGGATGGTGTGCGTGACATTGGTGGGTGGGCCAATGTCTGAAGGACGGTCGACGTCCTTGGGCCGCCGATTCACCAGGCTCTTGCCCAGCAGGTTCTTGAACACCTGCGGCATGCTGGAAGACTGCGGGCAGGGCGAATCATCGGTCAAGATGTGGTGGTGGCATAACCAAATGAATGCATGTCCGACTGCGCAAGTTGCCTGCATGGGGACATGGACATAATGCAACCCGCAAACATCTACAAGTATATTGTGGGAATGTATTGCTTCGCTCAAGACATTGCTTTAACACACACCCAGGTGGCCAGTTGGATACCCTTCCCTCAAGTGGGAGGTTAATTCTGCCCCTGAAATCTCAGAAACCAAGAAAGCTAGAGACACCAAATTCATGGGGTGTGTTGGCCTGTACTTGGCCCTAGGTTAAAGTTCGAGAGTTCTAGGTCATCATCTTCAGGTCAAATAACAACAAGCGTGGTCCAATTCCAGGTTGGTCTCCAAAGTGTCCCCAGAACCTAGATACCTGTCATGAGCAAAGGGTCACATGCTCAGGGTCAGTGACCTTGTTTTATCTTATGAAGCTCATGTTAGCCAAAATCATGCACAACTGCTATGTGTTTTGCATTTCAATTGGTGACAAAGATTATGCCAGCGAGTATGTAACTAAAAACAGAATGATCAGTTAGGTCATTTTGGGTCAGTGACCTATTATGACCTTAAATATGTCCACAGAAGATGTGTAATGTGGTTCCTGTCTTTGATAAATTTGAAATGAGCAACAGAATCCACCCCATACATTAAGCCCTAGATTAAAAAACATGTTAGTTTTGACCTTCCTCTGACCTTCATACCTGTCCCTAGGTCAATGGAATTTGTTCCTTAAATTCTTGTGTTGCCTAAAAAAGCATTTCAGAGAAAAACAGTTTCCTCTAACATAATGCAGCCTGTTGTTGCATCAGATTGAATGATTCCCAAGAAATTGACTTTGCTGAGCCCATGGCCTGACTTTGACCTGCCCTAGGTCAGCGACCTTACAAGGAACATCTCAATTTTTGACATCAAACAATCTGCTGTTAAACTGTCTACAGCTATGCAAAATTTGACGCGGCTATGTTGTGCCATTCGGAAACCATTCTGGGAAAACCTTAAGGGGGGGGGGGGGTAAATTGACCCCAAGTGTGTAGTAATGGCATCACTAGATTGTCACACAATACTGATGCATTACCTGTTGCCAGTGTTCACTCACATATCACTGGGGCCAAGATATACACCAATTGGTAATCTGCACACCACATGCCTGTCATTTACTATCATTCCATGGAAGCCTTATCCTTAGGCATTTGATTGTACAAAAATGTGCCCAAGAAGATTGCCTTTGATGTAGGTAGCATTCATCAGATGTCACAAACAGCAAACATATTTTCTTTACAACATTGGAAGTATTGGCATGGCATTGATGCTACAAACTACTGACATATTTTGTTCACATGACATTTACAAGCATTGGCATGGCATAGGCAGCATTCACCAGATGTCTTTAATTGTAGAGAAGCTTTGTTCACATGACATTTGCAAGGAGAAGAAATAAGATAACACTGACAAAAATACATTGTCAGGCAGCCTATGAACTCTTACTAGTGTGGCATCTAGCTCTTCCTTTTCCCCAATGGTAGATGGTACGGCTAGTAGATCCTTTAGTAGACTGAGGATAGTTAGGTAATGTCCATAACATGAATTTTGGAAGGCTTTAGAGTACTGTTTCCATGTATGACTGAATGCTGTAAGCAAGTATATGGCTTATCATTTTAAAAAATAAAAAGTTCAATACTTGCTGATATCAGCAAGAACATGTCACAAACTGGCAGGTGAACTTGAAACCCTTGAATTCTGCTGAGAGGAACCAGAAGGCCTCAGCTTTGGAAATGCAATGAGGATAAACCTTTAAGTGCCATAACCAATAGTCACTTATGACAAAATGTGCATGCATCCCTCCAAGGATTATTGTTTCTTGGCACCAGAAAGCACAGTGCAGTTGTAAACAAAGATGATTGATACAATTGTTCAATGGAGAATAAACAATATACAATCCAGGATGTATTGGGCCTGTTCCCATCCTTCTAAACTCCTGAAATGTTCTGAAAGCTCCTCCAGACTAATTTGAACATTTTTGTGATTCCTCCAGCCCTCTACAAGCTCCTCAAAGCTCATCTGAAACTTTTCCAACCTCTTCCAAAATGAAAGCTTCTTTTTGGGAGTCTTTCAAAGGAGGCTGTGGTAAGCATCAATGGTGCAGGTAATTCACATCTTCATTTGCTATCACATGTCAAAAACAAAGGATGGGTGTGCAACTTGGTGCAGGCAGATAAAATCATGTTATTAATTCTTGTCTTATATTCCTAGGAATCTCATTATCACATGCATTTACCAATTTGAACATGTACTTTTCACTTAGCTCAACATTTGGTATTATTCATCATCTGCCTATCAGTGTGCCAAAACTGCTTGGTTAAATTATGCAGACAGCCCATTCATTCCCAAAATAGTTTCTGCAGTAGTATATTCTGTGTTTCTACAACCCCTCCAAACATTTCACCATTTTTTGATGAGCAACAGGAAAAGACTCATCGTGGGTGAACACTCCATTGTGAGCAAACATCCACATGTTCCAATCTGCTCTTAATACTAGCTTTTAGATGACATCCAGTGAGGACAGAAGCTGCAGAGAGAGAAATAAAAGTGCAGAAATACAGTAGTGATGCAAAAACTTTATTTTAATTTTAATAACTATTTGCGTGTGGCAAGTAAACCCTTAAAGAACTATTCCTCATATGTTAGCAAGAAATAATGTTACATTACCACCAAACATACTGACATTACTGAACAGCACATGTTCATAATGCCTGAACTCAATGTGAACAACAAAAAAAGAAAAACACACGAGTGTGGTAAGGCAGCGCTACATCACTTCATAAACGAACCCAGATGTGTATTCGCGAGCATGAAATCGCACTTACCTTCTGACGCAGCGTCCGATACTTTCAAACGTGTTCCCGACACTTCAGCCGTTAACAAGACGCTCAACCATTTACAAATTGTCAAAATGGTAGTTCTAGGGTCTCGCCAAAGTCAGTCAAATGCAGCACACCCGAGCGGCACACCCACACAGGGGAAATCAACGCCGAGCGTGCGCAAAATATCTAACCACAAAGCAGCAGGGTCAGACAAATGTGGCGCTACTGTTGCTTTCTTCGAGTAAAAGAGGCGATGAAATTTTCACTTACGCAACGTAGGTGAGATCACCCAAACTGTAAAAGCATTCAAGGTGACAAAGTACCGGTCTCCGTCACACATCATGTGCTTTCAAATCTTTGCATTTACAGCTGCATCATTTGTGCCAATGCATCGCAATTTTCCAGAATGCAGAACAGCCGGGGAATTTTTGGTATATCCTGCTGAAATCGGAATAATCTTATCTATCTGGGTTTACATTGTCTATGAGACTAACTAACCGATATTTATATTCACTGTCATAAAACGGCATGCCATCTGACGAGCACAACTACTGACGAGCACAACTACTGACGAGGCCTTTCCGAATTTTCCGCGCAGCGACCAGGACCCAGGCGATGCCGGGCTCATTTTCGGCAAGACCTCTGCGGGAGGCCCGACCTCCTGGACGGCTCGCACCCCACCCAAGAACATTTGCAAGAATAGCCCATCCAAAGTTAGAGACGCAGTACGTAATCCTTCCTCAGTGCTAGCCCACAGGATTATAGTCCTGCTGGGTGAGTCGTGGGGGCTGAGCGAGCGGTATCTTATATAAAAAGGGGTTTCCCCAACGGTTTAGAGCCGCTTCATGATATTGCTGAAATATCGATGAAAAGAATCACCTACCGGAAAACATTTTCTCACGGCAATGTCAGACACATTGCTTTCACTGTTACTTTCCTCGGGTGAACAGAAGTGTTTTTGAGCACTTTGTCGTTCCCAGAAAAATACGGCCGACACCAGAGACACAGAATGGTGGCGATATCATGTGATTACCTACGCTTGGTCGTATCTGACTGCCTCACAGGGGCGGATCTAGCCTGGAGTTGGGGGGGGGGGGGGGGGGGGCGGGCAACCGTTCGTCGCCAGCTGGCAGGTGTGGGATCCGAGTTCCAGTGCATGGTGCATCTCGCGAGTACCTAGTAGGGATACCATTCAAGCACCGAAATGCGTTTGAATCTTAAACAGAAATTAAAACAAAACAGGTAAAACAGTTAAAACAAACGGTAAGTAGACGAAACATTTATGAAGTTCTGAGAATGTTTTTGGGGGGCCAAAACATACTCTCAGAGTTTTTTTTTTTTGGGGGGGGTCATGGCCCCGTG